CCAGATGTTGTAGGAATTATAATGAACATTACCGGTACTACCGAGAAAATGTGTCCACTCGGATGTAGCGAATGCAAGGAAACGGATCGTATTATTTCTTATAGTAACTTATGTATTCATCTTAACTATCATCGTTATACCCGATTATTGCACAGCCATTTTAGTCCCCTAGATGGTGCGAGAAAGATAACATCTCTATACAACTTGTGTACATTATGCCATAAATGCTGATACTAGTCAATAAACCAGGTACAATTAATAGAACCTTTCTGATCAATGCTTTGGCTAAATGGATTTTCGATTTGTCACGTTGTACACCTTTATTCCAACCTTATCAATAACACTCTACTCTTGCTAATGCACATGTCACATTTCGACATCTCTAGCTTCCGTGTAACGCCCTTACCTTGCTCGCCTCACGTATTCTGTGCTCAAGATTACTCCTCAAAGCTTACAAAGGGAAACGAGAAATGCATATCTGTTGAAAATGACCTATTTAAAGGAGTTATAAGAAATTATTCGGTTGTTATTTGCTCAAGTAGAAAAGTCTTCTAAAGCTCCACATTAACATCGACTTCGAGGCTGTTTCAATGAATCAAGCATGGTAACATAAACAGTTATTCACCGCCCCGTAAGTAATCGGCACACAGCAGCACACAGTATGTGTCAAGTTTCACACAGGAAATATTGCGATAAGCCTCTAAGTGGACGTTGAATCTTCCAAAGTTACACCTGCTTATGTTATCGAACATAAAATATTCACAGCAAAAGTGTACATAATCAGTGTAAGCGGTAAAGATTGGAAACCCGGTAGGAAGATATTATTTGGTTGGGATCAAATTAATAAATTTACGGGATGAGTTTGTGTGTAACCAGATGGAACCAAATATATACATTGAATCTGATACCGAATTAATTAATTAATTATTATCTCGAACATCTCGTCTGAGTGTTAACTATCAACAGATGTTCTCGCAATGCTACGTTATTTGAATGTACCCGTTGGCGCAAGGGTCAAGTCAATAAAACAACTGCACCCGATTAAATCTCAACCCGGAAACACTAACAAACAAGAAAACAGCAAGGAATCAATGGTAGGATGAATTAGTTGAAAAAACAAGCAAAGTAAATAGCCTTGCTCAGAATATAAATGTTCGCATCACCATTTACGCGTTTTGTCTTGCGAATATTAGCAGGCTAAATTCTGATTCACTATAGGAATATAAGGAAAATGTTTGCAGATCGACATCGTATTAATACCATTTAGGTTGAATATGTGGGCTGCTTTCATGAGAACTGATCATTAATATCTCATTGCAATCCCATTGCTTTTTAAAAAAATATCCCAACTTGTCAAAACAGTCCTATTATATACCAGTCAAATTCATAACAAATTAGAACACACGACTGTAGAAAATGCTTGGAATAATCAGCAGCTGTATTATTTAACCTACCGGAACATACAATATTCACAATATTCCTTTAAAACCTACATTTCTTACAAACAGCATTGGCTTCAGAGCTGAACTGGAGAGAGCGTACGTCAATTCGACAATTAGATATCAAGACCTGCATTGTACTATTTAGATTACATATAATCATACCGAATATAGGGTCAATCAGTTATATTTTTGTAAAGCTATTAGATTTCACAACAATTGCAACCTTCATTAAGCATGCCAAATCCAGTAAGCTAAAATCGGCAGGATCCCAAACGACACGTTTTAGGTGCTCTTCGTCATTCCACGTACAAGCTGCATCCACCGACGGGGCACTAAATATTATTTTCCTGTAATAGTTCCATTAAGGTTTTGGTTGTTGTTAGTGCTTGCGAGGCGGTCTGACAGAAAGTTATTAATCAACACCCCAACAAACCAACAGCAACGCAGGGATAACTATTAAATTTAACTAATAGTTGTGTTTTATTCCTTGTAACTAAAGATCCTATATTTTGTTTTAATCATTAATATACTCCCGGTGCGCAATTTTGGTAATCGTCCTTAACAGGACTTTTTGGACGAAATCCGTGTTCGCTTTCCCGTGTGTTTTGTCATTCAGGCTTTCAAAATGACGATCTATTACCTCAAGCATTTAGTAATGTTTATTTTGCAGATCAACATTGATATATTTTCTTTTATCCGAGGTTGCTAGCGGATTCTTAAGTCTTCATAAATCCTAGCTTTTTCAACCGAATGAAAGCAACTGTTAGGTTGTCAAAATTGGTACAAACCGTACGATCAGAAAGCGCAGTATTCCTACGGTTCTTTGAGTACTTGCAACATATGACCTCCAAAGTTGACTGCATCCGTATTCCTAAGTACCGGACTCAAAAATATACGCCAGTTCCCTTACCATACTTGAGTTACCCCATATACTGTATCCTTTGCGAACATCGCCAGATGGTTCTGCCAATAATAAACTAACCAAAATAAACACCTCCATTTATTGCCGTTCACTTAGCAGTTGGTCAACCGTGAACATTCAAAGCATGATAATTCATCTCACATCTGGTTTCATTTGATTTAACTGTCCATATGTTAGACGTGGGCTTTCCTCTGCTACCCATCAGAGCTGTGTTGATCTGTTCACGAAATGCGTTAGCTTCGGAGAGGTGATGCTTTGTCGTCCATAACATTGGTTTCGCTAGGCCGTGGACAAAAGTAAACTGGAAACTAGCAGCACCTTATGGTGGGTGGTTAATGAAAGCTGACGAATTCATCCCATAACGATGTCTTGTCACATATTTCGGATGCTGGAATAGATTTATGCGAAATACAGTTTTATTGAATAGATTACTAAAAAACTCACAGAAATTTTACGTGTCACACTGTGCACATCAATGACCCGCTGCACCATCGGATTATTAAACTACCTCTAAGGCTTTTATTGACATTTCTGTGCCTTGGTGGCTGGTTCATACCTAAATACGACGGGTAACGAATGAACAGTAGTTCGCCTGTGCTGTCTACAACCGTAACTTGGATTTTGAATCAAATGCCTTTTACTTTCCAGAGGTTATCCTCCACCTTTACGGCTTGTCTATTACCACCGTTCAATCGATACGGTATCCGGTACCCAAGTTTCGAAACATTACAAATAAAGGTTTATTGACAATAGGACATGTATCTGTTCACAATTGCTAACGCGGTGTAAAATGTGAAAACATGAGCTCTCAGGTCCGCCTGTGAGAACTAGCTTAGTCAGCTTGTTCGATTCCGCTTATTTGCAGCGAAATGTTACACGTATCCACAGTAAATTTCAATGTTGTGGGAGCGTGCATTATATTTTAGACACAGCATCTGTGACGTATCCGACCTAGATATAGTTGGCAGTTCCTTCGCCAACGGAAGCTTCAAGTACGCGTTAGGGAATCGCTCTCTAACCAAATTGAGGTAGAATGTTGTGTCCCACAAGACTCAGTGTTTGGACCGCGCTTATTCGTTTTGTTTAGCAACGACCTGGCAAGAGTTATCTCCTCAAATTTCCTGATTTTCGCCGATGACGCCAAGATATGGTGGGCGATTGGTAACAAGCCAGATCACGATCTACTGCAACATGAGCTAGATTGCATTTACAATGGTCAAAGCGGAACCTGCTTCAATTGAATACAGCTAATTGCAAGGTGATACATCTGCGTCACAAGCCGGTGAGCGCTTACAAGCTTAGAGACCACAGCTTGGAGAAGGTCTCGCAGGAGCGTGGTCTGGGTATACTGGTACAGGAAGAACTCGGCTATTCAAAACAATTAGACGAGAATGACAATCAACACCTCGATCTTCTTCGCAGAGCCTTCGGTCGGTTTGGACCCTCAATCTTTCCCCAAATAATTAACACCTAATTGAGACCGCACGTAGAATATGCTATCCAGGTGGGTAGCCGTGGAAGAAACAAGATTTTGTTGATCTCGAGGTCCCTCAACGAAGGCGAACAAAGAAAGCCATGGGCCTCTATAATCTGCGTTATCAGCTTAGACTGAAATCTCTAAGAATGTACAGCAGTCGATATCGGCTATTGCGGAGGGACCACATAATGGTTTACCAAATATTGAAGAACCCAAACCACATTTGCTGTCCACTGCTGGAACTGAACGACAACACTAAATTAAGAGGTCACCCTCCGAAACTGACAATTCAGTATACCGGCTTGGATGCCGTAAATATTTATTTTCACTCCGCGTGTTCCAGCCTTGGAGCGCCCACTCTAATTATGTCGTTTCTGCTCCTAATTTGGCGAAATTAAAAAAAACCAGTTGACGATACATTGTCTCATTTACATTTTATTTTATTACTTGTTAGCCATGGGCTATGAATCGCAATCAAACGGTGTCTTGCCAAGCGCCCAACCAATGGATGTATGGTTCATATGTTTATACGCGAACATCTCAGCTATTCTACATAAGTCTATGGTGAGTCCACCAAAAAACTTTTCACTTAATCATGCAATTCACTTTTCACAATGATTTCCATCCCACGGGACTTGTTAAGCCATGCTTTTTTACTTATAATAAACCCTTGTTCCATAGCCCGGTGCGGCAAACCTGATTCAGACAAATCGAATTTGAGTTTAGAAACACATTAAATGATGTAAAGTCTGTGTAAGCAAACAAGTGTTTTCGGCATTACATCATCAGCCTATGTTGGATCGTACGCCAGAACTGAAACACTTCTTCTTCTTCGCAATGTAGTGCAGATGTCATTGCAGCGTGTGTTTCCGAAAGCATACTGCAGAATGGGAAAGTGGAATTGGAGCAAACTGTTTCTAAGCGTTTTTTTCAGTATGCAGGACCTTTCACAACCATTGAAGATAGGGTTTTTACATGAGCGATGACAAATTTATCTTCTTGTGCTCTGCCAAATGGATACTGAATAAAAGAACTATATATTAATTGAAACAAATGTTTTTCCGCGGTGCGGCAATTTATCTCATAACTCAAGTCGATCAAAGGTCAAAAAAGCTGATCAAATTTTTGGTCTGCAAATTTTGACCGTTAGCCAACTCACATCGATAAATCCACCCTGGGTACGCATAGGTCCATCCCTTTGGTAATCGACATGTTAGACATTGAAATCCAGAACTTGACCGATCCACGATGCTCCTGGTGAAGTATAAGTGAGAGCCACTTTGTACAAGCTGAAAGTAAATGTTCAATGAGGAGCACAATTTGAATTTTTCTCAGGCTTATTAAGCAACGGAAGATGAGGAATTGAGCGGCATAAATACAGAAGCGATTGTATGTAATTATTGACTAAAAACAAAAGTGTGTTCCAAAGCCAAGACAGCTATATATGATGGGTCGGTTTTTTCAATTTTGTCCTGTTCAACCGTATTTCCAAGCAGCGATAAGAGACAGGTCAGTGTATTAGTAGTATTTAGTAGCATACAAATATCAAGACTACTAGAGATCAGTTGAGCAGTTGGGATTATGCAAAAATCAAATTTTTGGGAGCGGCAGATAAATATACGAAGTAAAAAAGGGGTAAGCACAAGAGTGTACCACATAACATATAGGAAAAATATGCAGAACCTCTGCATACGGTTGCGGATTGGTGCCAAAATATGTCATTATATAACTTCAGACCTATGATTTATTAATAAGTATAATAACTCGGGATGCATAATATGCAAAATATTAATGCAAACGGAGTGCGGTAGAGCAGAGTTGTTTTTCGGTAATCGGGTTTAGGATGGGTGGAACCATTAAAAAAATCCCGTACCTAGAGCAACTAAAGGTAACATTCGTGAAAATAGCGTTACGTTTCTAAAGTAAATATATTGGACTAAATTGATAGACGAAACGTACCAAATCTAAATACTTAACCAAAGATATGAGTAGGAAATTTCAAAGGAAAATTCACGAGGGCATGAATGTGAACTGTTGTTTTATAATTCAAGCACTGACACGATATCACTGAGTGCAGGTAAATATCTAGCATATGCAAGTTACTTTGTTATTTTTATATAACTTGGGGCTATTTTCTTTTGTAAGGGGCCACTTTCATATTAACTTATCTATATAGCTTGCGTTAAGTATATGTTCGTTACCATAACTTAACACCTGATGAAATATCGTTGTGAGAAAGCAGACTTCGCGGATCATTGCTCTCTCAAGCTGAAGTATTTAGCATAATTTTCGATAAAACAACCGACAAAATGTTCCAATAGAAAACAGTAAACTGAGCGATAATTTGTACCATAAATATATATAGACTTTAAGCACGAATTATATGATTGTTTGCCGTAATTTGCATATTCTTTCCAAACTTCTCAACCTAAGTTAACAGGTGGCGTAGCTCCGGCAAGTGAACGGTAATCATGTGGATCTGAGGAAGTTTGCGGAATGAAAACGAGCGAGTCCGAAAACTTCAAAGCGCAATCTCTTGCTTAGGGTAACGGTAAATAATGACGGTAACCTATAAAAGATATTGCGGATAATTCCCGATTATGTATAAATCAAACAGAGTAAATTTGAGCAAGAGTTTCATCTGTTACGCACATTTTGGTATGGGAAAGTCTATTAAAAACATCATTGGAATCCTGTTTTCGCGAAGTCTAAAAAATGTCAGACGCGGCAATCGGTCTACAACTAACAAACATTAGCCGGACTGAGCAACGATCCAAATAACGTTACTCTATGTTGTGAATGCGCAGACGCACAATTCTGCATACTACCATTAACAAATTCGCTGATGATTAAAATTTCATGAGAACACACCAGCGAAAATTCGGCTTGGTCTGTCCATCTTGCGAAGTGCAACTGTTCCTCTGTTCGATGTCCTTCTGTCAGCTTGACTTCAATGCGAAGTCCGCTAAAGAGAATGAAATTATTATACATTCAGGTGTTAAAATGAGGTGTGTATGATATTGCTCTATTTATAAAATTGAGTTCAATTTCTAATTGTGCTACAGTAACCAGTTTATTTGCTTTTTCCGTTTAGAAATGCGTATAACACTGAAGGAGGCTGTCTGAGGACTTCGTTGTACGGCATTCAACCAATTTATCACTCAGTTAACTCATACCTCTAGTGTGAATTGGGCGAATGAGTCTTTTATTTAAACTCTCAAATTGTCGTTTGGACAAGTATTGAATACCTCAACTAGCTAGCCGTAATATGTGTATCTATGTTGCTACAACGATTACTTGCTATGTACGAATGCCAATTAAAGTCATTTCTCACCGCGTAATGTCCAGTAATATCAGATGCGCTGTATCCTATTCCTTTGTTGTGATGCGCCAAGGCATTTCTTGAATTCAGATAACGAATTACCATCCAAGGTTGTTTGACAGATTGTTTCTGCAATTCACCACACGACACTCAAAATAAAAATGGTAAGCCATCCACTTTAAATCCCGCTTCAAATGCGTTCCATTCCCTTAGCCACGAGTTCTGTTCGGTGCGTATGTTTGCCAAAGCAGCCTCAGCATTTTTAACTAACTTACATGTTGTAAGATGTTCACTAGAAACCGACGATACAACAGCATTTAGAGCCCCAGTTTTCTGCAACGGCTTGCGTAAGACATTCCCTGTAAACTGTAAATTAGCCTGGTAGCGGCATGCTGAACACGTTCCAATTTTAACAGCTCACCATGAATGATCGGACGATAGGCCGATGTGGCCCACTTGAGCGTTGGCCTTATGATGGGAGAGAAGAGGCGAGTGACAACCAATTTAGGCCGAGTGCAAAGGTGTATTTTAGAAATGAACTCGTTCCACATAGTCGGAATTACCTAGTAGATAGATCGGAGATGGGAACTGCAGCAAACCGACAAGGGTTGTGTCATCTGTATCCAAAGTTGCTCGGCCCCGTGATTACGATCAGCTTCGGGACACCTGAGTCTACAGGTTGTGTACCCGTTGCGCCACAAACACCACTTAACATATCTACTCCAACCTTATAGTTCTAAAGCTGGAGTTGGAAACACATTTGATCAAGAGGCGCCTCCCATTCATTTATACATGAGGAACCATACCTATAATAGGAAAATGATCAATTGTTAAAACTCCGTTACACCACTGAAGCATATGATGTTCACGAGTTATGGGTACACTAGGTTTACCATTAAGAAATGGAGAAGGATATTCGTCTCGTAAATCCGCGAGTCAATCAGATCTAGAACTGTTGTGATACTTATGAGCAAATCCAAGCAAAAATCAACCATTCTATTATGGCTGAACCGAACAGTGAAATTTGTCAGGGCTTGTTCTTACGGCTTGGGTTGCCGGTATTACTCTTGCCGATTTGAAGATGCAAATTTAGACAGCTTCGCGATGGTTTGATGTGATAGTTATACAACACTAAGGGGTACCATGGATTAAAGGTTTATTACTGCATATGTCCTGAGACTAATCCTGCATATACGTATATTTTTCGTAAATGCATGGGCGGCTGACAGGGAAATATCATTGAATATAGCCTGGTCGCATAGACCAGAATATGAAGCATTTCTATGCCGGTCGAGCATGTATGTACACAAGAGAATGAAGCTAGTAATTGTCATTTCTGTGGTAATTCAAGATCAAAAACAAACTGTGGAGTTGAGCACCTGTTAGGTGCTACCATTAATTGTGACCTGCCTACTATACACAATTTTGCTCTTCCGAAGAATCGATTTATTTATTCGGAACTATTTTTAACCCACTCATGGGTACAAAGATCAAGATTCATCAAAAAGGTCCACATTTCGCTTTATGTTAAAGTATACAATATTTATTACCAGCTTTCAAAGAAAGGTATGGGAGCTGTAATATATGGATATACACGCACCCGATGGAAGACCTCAAAAAAATCCACCGCCATGTGCAAGTAAATGAACACGCAACCGCAAAATTTCTACCGTTTTCGTCCGTGAGCGTCAGTCCTAAATGATAATACGTAAAATAGCTTAAGTAAAGACCACCCTTCTTGCAATCTGAATGGCGAAGTGACTCAACTATCTCATGTTCATCTGACGGTAAAACCTGATTTTTCAAAAATTTGTAATGACATTTTTGAAGATATCTAACCTTTTTACATAATAATTGCATAGAAAATAGAGGTTGTTGACAACAATCTTGAATGTATAGCAATCTTAAATTTCGCCTATGGTAAAGACATATAAACAGATATGCGCTTCATGTAATCCAACATACGTGGGGAAGATACAGCGAAATTACCAAAATACACATATCGCTGTTGATGCTGATGGTGGGCAACGCGTTTCACTCCCTATACAACCGTATTTAGAAAAACGGAACTTTTAATTCCACTTACTTGGTGACCCTGAGAAATGCTTTGTACTGAAAAGGGAGCATATGTTTAACATAGCTAACAGAGAGCGAACAATGCAGATAGGATTCTAATCCACTTTACCAGACCAATCTCATATAACACGAAGAAGCTTACTCGTAAGCTAAACTGCACATATGCCTAGTGTCCGTTGTGTCAAAACCTTCGTTACTTTCATTGGTCTATTTGTTGCTGTCTCCTTTGACAGGAAAGCAGTCATTCATTTTGATGCACAAGATAAAGCTGAATTCGAAATAGGGTGAATTGTTTAAATATTCTAAACAAGCTTGATTCCCCTTGTGAAACTGTTAGACAAACTCAAAAGGGATTATATCGTATGCAAAATTTGGATAGCAATTTTGCTGCGTTCGATATTTTGCTTCCAGTTGACTAAAATTTTCAACATGTTGAAATTAAAAATAGTCCTTAAGCACCGGACAGGTAGATAGACTCCGCCACAGCCACCAAAGTATTTGTCTCGCAATTTAAAAACCTCGCATTACCTACCTATCAAAGTAGCTCCGCAATAAATAAATAATTGCGGCTCCTTGAGTGTTCTATCCGCCTCTTAATAGATAATGCTCAATTTACCCACATACGCGAACCTCAAAATCGCACCAAAATTCAGACATTTATCTCAGCTGTCATATTAGGGTTAATTTCAGTGAAAATGTCAACCTGAGAGGTTAACATGGCATATTTCTATATACGCAGATAGGTGATGGTTCCTCCATCAGTGTCATCCAGGCCACATAATAACTTTGAACCAAATAAGCTTGAAGATATGACCTAGCTGTATACAGGCACGAACACGGACAACATCACACACAAACTGGCTGCTTCGTTTGCTCAGTTTCACACCAAAGAAGCAAATTCAAATGTGGAGGGTTTCGGTGTGGCGCTCACCCATCTATGCAAATCATGAATGCGAGTTTCTTCCTAGTTTGGACTAATCAGGTAGAGAGAACCGAGTTGGGATTGGAACTGGGCGCATAGTGCTAGCAGTTTTGCCTGAGAAATAATCTAGTTCCCCTTAAATACATTATATTATACCCTGTGTATATGAGCAAAATAGATCTTAGCTTGTAAAATGTATCAACCTATCCCACAAGAAATAAGGGTTAGCCACTACCCGTACAAACGGGAATATGAAGGTGCGTCCTGACTTCTCCCTTTTAAAGTATGCTCACACTAGGAAGAATCTAACATTGAAAGTACAGGCAAGTGACAACCTAACCAAATTTAATTGAACTTGGAAGCATATCTCACTAAGCAGAACATAATGAAAAATTCCGTCTTCAAGTGTCTAATGTGTTAAGTGCATCAGGTCCAATCAATTTATAACCGATACATTAAGTTCACGATACTCCGGAATACCTTAACTTTATGTTTGCAAATGCCGCCTTTGAAGTCACACCTGTAGGTGGAGAAACATTAAAGTATCTCTCTTGCTTTAACTCTCATTCGTACATTGTAAACATGCTACCGCCCTATGGCATCCGGATAATATGCATCACCTAGTGCATACTGAAAGAAGCCAATTCATTATTAACACTACCTGTTATTCGAAACTGCTGCAATGCTTTAGCACACGCAATCATATAACATCCCATAATGTCGCCAGACATGCTATTTGGTCTCGTATTTCGTTTATATTTCTATCCCATAATGTAAGTATTCCTTCTTATTCTCCTGTTATTCTGTTGCTCACCTGTGAGCCGACCTCCTGAGGTGATAGTTTAAAGCTTCTAAGAAACATGTATATCCACGCCAAAAGACCCACTGGTGAATATAAAAGTGTGCAAACATTAAAAACAGTCCAACCTAAACTGCTGAGCTCTTAGTTAATGGCGTATGACAACAAGTGGTGACCACGGTCATTTTGCACGCAAAAAACTATGAATGACGAAAGGTCTGACTGATTTAAGTAACTAGCTCACAAAAGAAAAATACCTAAACGAAAATTAAAAACGGTAGTTTTCTACGTGCTTTTAAACCACACCGGTACATGACCAGATGGGTCGTGGAGGTGCGGGTGAAAACTATCGAGGAAATACCGCGCATCGGACCAGGTACTCGGGAGACGGTTCCACGAATGACCGTATTAATTCACTTGTTTTTTCATACCTTACTTCATTCTGTACTGAATCTGTTGTTCTCTTGCTTCCTAGTTACTTCATCACAACCGTGCTACTCTCTTACCGATATTTCCCGTTAACTTACTACTTAGACCATAACCTCACCCTAAGTTGTGATGCATTTCCTTTATGCATCTACACCAAACATCGCAGAACTATTTCACACTTGACACATCAACTGCTTATAGAATCTTCCACAAACAACGATGCGCTAACTCAGTCCTGACTTCGCAGTGTATGGACAGTAATTTCCTGGTCAAAATATCTGTTTAGTTACCACTTTCTAAAATTAAATTCACGGTGCATAGTAACGCACGCCATAAATATACACCTACACGTGACTGCTGAAAGGAAGGCAACTGACTTCACTAAGTATGTCCACCATCTAGCAGCCCAAAAAGCAAATTGATAAGTTCAACTCCATAATTAGAAAAAAGCATTGCTAGAAAATACACTATGCATTAATTTGCAACTTTATTTGCCAAAAAAGTGTTTTATTAACAAGTCCGGGGTTAAGACCAGCTGCACTCAGGAGCTGAAATAGTCAAGTACGATAAAATACAAACCGTCCAATAAAGAAGATGGCCATGAAGCCAACAGTGAGATGGAGAACATAGGTACGACATGTATGTCAACGAGCGCACAGCTCACAGAGCAGTTTAGTTGCCAGCAGTAAACTTTAGCAAAACCACAGCCGCAACAGACCAGTCATACGTAGATCGCATAGACGGACCAAGGGATCGCACGCCACTCCGCTGGGAAAAGTAAACGTTAGAAAACACCACAGCCGCAAAGAAGGCTTCTTGTCTCGACCACAGGGCAAGACCAACGGAGTGCAGGCCGTTCGGCTGTGAGAACTGGAAGTGAGCCAGACATCAAAGCTGCACTGAAAATGTCATGATATGATTGATCGGTAGTCGGCTTTCACGCAGGTGAAAATTCGGCAAAAGGCTTCCCTGCATTGGTTAGTAGGTCGCTGTGTTATCAGTTGAGAAAAACAGCTTGACCATACTTATGGACAAGTCGATAGGCGCGTATTACTATCGTCAAGGTGGTTATCGCCTCATGACTGGATTCCAACAAACCCGTAAGCTTTTATTAGGCTGCTGTCGCTTCTAAAGATAATCATATCGCCTGAAACTCATTGTGCTGTTACAATGTTGCCTGCTTTACCGTTTGGATCGCGTGTGTGTTACAGCTGCAACTCCACGCTTTGTGGGTGCATATAATTGAAGCCTTGGCTTGAGTTGACGTGACAGTGTTCTTAGATTTCATTTTGCCCCGACGAAATGGTGGCACCACTAGACAGCACACCGATTTAGTCATGAATGAAACTATTACCCTCACCGTCAGACAATTGCTGCTTGTAGGCATCAACCCAGTCTTCCATAAATTTTCTCTTTGACAACACCGGTCCGCCATTACTCAGTGAGACAAAAATTTTGATTCACCCAATGAGTAAACCTCAGCGTGCAGATGGAAATAATCTCAACTTGAGTGTGACGCTAGTTGTACAATCACAAACCCGGAACCCGAAACTTTCACGTCCTTCGTAGGAAGTTATCCGGTCTTTGTTTCTCGGAACCGCTAATCAACATGATGACTGTTGGCGTGTAAGTCCGGCCTTAGCATGTGAATATATACACGGAGCCTCAGTCACACAAAGGACCTTATGAACCCGCCGGCGCATTCGCTACCAAAAGCTGATTGAGTGACATTGCCATTACCAGGTTACGAGCTAAGTAATACTTGAACAGTTTCGATAATATATCCACGGTAAAAACCATGGACCAAAATGTCAACCAGTCGAGCAGCGATAAACAATTTATCAAATATTTACCACTCATTGAGTTAATCGTGTCCTATAGTCATTGAAAATCTAGGCAAGTTATATATAGTGCGGCAGTATCGCAAAGCACTAGGAACAAAACCATTTATTTTTAGAATGATCTACACCAAATGAATAAATGAATGAAAAAATTGGTTCAAATTGCATATGCACTAAAATCCTTCATAAGTCTTGAAATATTAATCTGTCGTACTTATTGGTTTCAATTATCTTTGGTTTCGGTTAGAATATTCAGGCTGGAAATTGTTATGGCGGTCTGGTGATTTCCGTTGATAGAAAGGAGCGCAGCTTCACTCATATAAGTCCGTAGATTATGAAACATACAGATGGTGTTAACTGTCATCTGTCCGCAATGAGATAACACAAATGTCAGAATAATTGCAATACTAAAAAGAATGTGTCAAACCTGGACAAGATAATTGTATAGAAGGAAATAGAAGCCGAGTTGCTTGATCGATACATAACATAAGCAGCACAATCTGCAGTCTGACCTAAAACACAGTTATAAAAACACCAGACAAACTTACCTCTTCAGTAAAATCACGGTATATCGAAAACATTTTTCTTGGGTCCGGATCTAAGGGATAATTTGTGACGTAAAATACAATTAATCAATGGAGATGTCTATAAATTTAAGCAAAATAGTTTGCAGCAAATTACAACTATATATTTACCCAATATATATGTGGTCACTAATGATTATTGGTTATGTTCAAAACTAAAAGTCCTTACCTGCTAGAGTCGATGAGCATATGCAGTAAAATAGTACATTAAAACACGAGCCAGTACAGCTTTTTGGCAGGATTACATATTGTGAATTCCACCCAGGATTTAATTTGCAACTGCATTATTCGAATTATTCTGGCACAAAAGTTCAGCTACTGATAAAAATAAAAATGTGCATTGCGAAACCGACGACTATCACTGTTATGGATTGTGGGTGTGACTTCAATTTTAGTCCAAAACTTGTCGACGCGACTTTCGTAATAACATTATGCTGACAGTGTTAGTCGCACGGAATTGATACTTTTCTACGTATAGCCAAATAATGAGCCAACTAAGGTAAGAGACCGGCAGGTTAACACAAGCAAAATTGTTGAGTCTGCAGTAAAAACTGGTTGTTTTTCCTATCCGAAATACTACCGCTGTCACATAATTGGCAAGCAAAAATGCAACGCATTTAGCTCATTGTCATCCAGAGGTTACTTGTGCGCGGATTTTCTGAGATATGCAAATTGCCGTACCGAGATAATGCATCTGTGTACCGCATCGTACCAGTGAATGCCATTAGATCCTAGTACGATGCACTTCACGATTCTGCCAAAATCTAGCCATTCTGGATATGCAATTGGTTAATTTGGTCTAAGAGTGACCACAAGTTAGTTTCACATGCTAAATGCTAACACTCAAATCTGCTACTCAAATGTTCCAGCTGGTTCAAACCCTAAAACTGGCTCAAAATCCGTAATAGACCCATAATGCTGCATCCAAACTACTATCGAATTGCCCATATTTATACGTTTACAAAGGAAAAAATATGTGTTTTCTGAACGGCGTGATAAGTTGGCAGCATAGGACTTCATGCGCCCTTTGTGGAAGCAAGCAGGCGATTCCGACAACGAATTTGACCAACTATGCTGTGTATATCGCCAACAGACTGTCTGAATTAGAGTGAACTGTGACAAAATAAGATCAATTGTTATTCTCTCCTAAATTCCACCATAGTTTGTGAAGTTTATGCTCTGTGAACTGTCACCGCCTATGGGCACGTTAATGGTTTTAGTTATTAGAGGACTTTACAAAATTTTCCAGTAATAGTGTGCAAGGGAGCTTGAGATTTTTCATGACGAGCTTTACAAAACATGAAACCTTTACATACATACATATATATACATATATATATATATCTTGATTAGATGGAGAACGCTAGATCCCAGTCAAGCACGATTCAACTTGCGACGGCATGCTTTTCTAGGTTGAACGGAATGCTATTTCGAAGTGTCTTCATTGCCTACGCAACCAAACATTTGATGTCAAAATATCTTTATGTATCCCTCCTTAGATTGAGTAGAGAGGCCAATGGTTTTACCCCTTAAAACATGGCCGTGATAGCTGTCAGTCTGCGAGGCCCCACAGTTCATGTGCGTTGTCCATTTGATCAAAATGCTGCTCATTTTTGGGGCTCCGTAACTTCATTAAACCGTGTCATAGATATATGTTTGTTGTCTTCCTGCCGTTAGCAGGTTTCACTTTTGATCCACGTTCCAAACACTCATAGAGCCAACTGCCTAGTCGTTTTGCAAGTAGTTTGCATGGTATAGTGTTTTTCCCTCCATTATTACGCGGACACAACTCGGTTCGATAAATAGCCATTCTTTGAGAGTGGTACACTCAGCCAACATTTGTCAAACACTTTATTGGTGATAGAAACTATTTTGCAACAGGTTACATATGTACGCAAGCTTAAAAGCAAATGTTTAGTGTTTAAGTTTTGATTAAGTAATTTCGCTAGCCACGAAATGTTTGCGTGGACATTCGTTCGCCTAATTCAAGTTGCATGGACATCGTTGCATCCGTGGCATACGCGCATAGCTTTCGCATCGGAAAGTGAAGCAACAAAGATAGTGTACACTTATAAATCTTTACATTGTGCAAAGGATAAAGTCTTGCGTTGCTTCTAGTTTACTGTGGAAAGGTACAGCCTATTAATCTCACAGGCACCGAGTGCAAACGGACTCGCCTGAATGAAACACTTTTAAGAAATATTCATTATGAAACACAACCGGTGAATGCAAATAACGAAAAGTACCTCCAACGGGTTACTCACAGACGTTCTTTGGTGCTCAATTAGCCATGCGGACTTTTCAGAGTTGGGCCACAAACCAGAAACCGGCTATAATTGCAATATGAGAAAGTGATACATAATTAGTCTTCAGTTGCGTACGTCGTTACACTGCTTAGTATGGACAACAAAGATATGTATGTAAGGCACCATCTTCTGCTGGCTTCCATCAAGTGCAGATTGAAGTACCAACTACAAATACATAATTAAGTGTTTTAACACGATTTAAAGGAAATAGCTACCATGAAATATTCGCGTCGTGCCTCTAAACTTCCCTCCATGTTAAGTATGGAAACCTTCCACGTCAATTAATTACCTGAATGACACTGAGCTTTGGTCTTACGTATTCTCTTCACGTAACCGCTGTGACAGGTGCTGCTCACGAAGCTTCGGATTAATGACCAAAGCGTAATTCCTCAAACATTATGTGTTATGTTCACCTCATAGGCCATTTCTAAGTGACGAGTCCAAATCAGGACAAGATCTGTTCCACATGAGTGCTCTGCTGTTTGGAGACGATAGCTACAAAACTTTCCACTAATTCAGGAGACTTGTCTTATGTTGCATGTCAAGTATCCCTTCATACCTTCAGTGTGATCCCATGTTGAACCTAATGCTCTCTAGTAATCGCCCTTGGCCTCTTGGGTGAATTCTTCCGAGTGACCTTCAGCGCAGTAAAACATCTATCTCGATGTATAGCATTTCGATGCCGAACGTGCTTGCCGTTAGCGTAGCCAACTGTGGTTGCTAATGTCACAAGTTTGCATTCAAAATACACATTGATTCCGTCAACCAATCCACAGGGCGTTGTCAGTAGTTACATCAAAATGCTCGACCACACAGTTACAAAAAATCTCTATGCTCTTACACGGCAATATTATATCAGTTTCCCGTTATTCTTTCACATTTTCCCTGGTCAGCTCGTAATCAGTTTAAAACTATTGGGCAAATCAGTTTGTTTCATCAAGGATTCCTGTCCAGCTCGGCCGGATGTATGGTGCAACCAACTGAGCGACATTTGTCGGAGTAAAAGGCACATTATTGACAGGTAGGCGAGTGACTGACAAGTGCTTTCTGCATACACTGGGAAGCCTTAATATTTCGTCGTTTGTGTGCAGTGATGTGTTGACCCTTTGCTTCGCCCAGCTCACTTTGCCAACAATGGCATGCGCAAACTCATTCCGTTACTGGTCGACTGATTACATGAGCTTCCTAATTAAAGCATTTCATATAATATTGCAAAAGTGGACCTTATCCAAAACGTTATTTAGCTACGCAAGAAAAGTCTGCGTACCGCAGACAGTTTTAGAAAATGAGATAAATTGCTCATGGATACGCTTAAAAAGTTGGTTATTCACGAATTATTATCGAGAAGCATAGACCTACGTACGTGCCAGGACAGAATAAATCCATGTGTTTGTTTTTTATCTACGGTGCGAGACATTATTGTAGCATAGGGACGCATCAATAAGTACACAGTAGTATTTCACATAGATTTCCTTCTACATAGGATTAAAAAGAATTCTATCCAGCCTGTGAAATGTGCATGTTTGCAAGTTAACTCATTGTTGAATTATGTGGTATATTCATAGCAACAACGCACATGCACTGTCTTGACTGGCGTGAGTAATTGGGAAAAAATTCGGGGAATGGATTCCTCATATTAATATAAAGGTATCATTAGGTCTGCTTCCGTCACTTGTCACTTTGGTTTTGGTATCCTCAAGGAAAAGAAGCATATTCCAAAGCCCACCCCAATTTACAGCTTGTTTCAGTCAAAGCAAAGTTTTCGTCTTATGAGAGTTTTGTTATTGTAAAGATGCTGATGGGACATTATGAATTATCCACATCTTTTGGTTCATTCATGTTCAAACAGCCTTGTTTAAATTAGTAGACTGAAATAAATATTTCGCATTTCTTATAAATTACATCACTTCTCGAAAATAGCACTACGCGTCCCATGTCTTATAACTGCAACATTATGCAGTGAAGTAAATATCCCCAATGGGGATGCTTTTTATTGGACGGCATGCTATGAGATTGTCTTCAAAATGACACACCCTTGCTCGCATAGGTTTTTAAGACATCTGGAACTTGGCAGTCAATTGAATGTGAGACTGGCTGTATATCGTCGATAAATAAACTGACCGGGAAGCGGCAACCTTATTTTCTGAAAACAATGCAGTCGCACTACGTTGATTCCAGTTAATCAGCCGTCTTGTTTTATTGGATATAGGGCACATAACCTGCGCACACCACCTGCGCATGATGTGCATACGTAAATAAGTTACGGGCACATCGTATTAGGCCAAATATATTGTAAACATTTAGTCCTACAGGATACAAGAGTTGTGGTAGCTTCGGGTTCTAACCAGTCAATGTAAATTAACAATCCTGCTTCAGGAGTCAACTAAGCTGCCTTCTCAGTTCACGTGTTATCTGTAAGTGAGGGCGGAAGCAATCCCACTGTGTTACAGCCTGGATTTACAACTGGACCGCTGTATTTGGAAATTGTTTTCATCGCGATGCATTTTCCTTGTAAGCACACATGTTTCGAGAAGCAGTGACATTATTATTTTGACAACTAGGTAAATTAGGGTAAATTAAATTAAATAGGTAAATTAAGGCAACACAATTCATCCCATGTGTAGTTATTCGTTAGAAATTGTTACCAAATAAATTAGACAACATGACAATTGTTGGTCACGCCTTCGACTGGGAAAAAACAAAGAAATTAAGGTATATTTATCGACTACGAGAGTAACCAAAGGATGTGTAGATTCATACTAAAGTGCTTTATTGAAATACATGGATATAATATCGAAGTTTCATGTATCCTTCAAGTAGCAAGGATAGATTTATCATAGTAACCTATTATAAAGCATATGTTTCAAAGCAACTAACATTTTTCTAGTGGCTTAGAAACGTCCAGCACTAAAGTAATAATCTGATTGCAATAAGGGTTCCTGCTCTATTTTTGTGTAATATATGTGAAAGAGTATGGTATTTAGCATCAACTGGAAGGTACATAAGGTATACATTTTCGGCTGAAGTTTTATTGTCAAATAATGATTTTGTTCGTTGAAGTATTCTCAATCTTGTTCTTGCTTTACTGTAAAGTAAATCATGGGCACCTGATCACCGATCTGTATTTGCACCCTAACAACTTCCGGATTGAAAAGATTTAAGCCATCGACTCAAAGTTTTCTATTGACAATTTTCCAATTTTTCAAGTATGCATTGTTTACATTAATTTATCCGATATGTTTTAACTAGAAGCAGCGCATCTACGTGAAACTGATTACCGTGAAAAAAAACCGAGATCCATAATAAGTTTTCCTTTACGAATACGTTCTGTAGCATTAGCTGTGGCACGCACTGCCATTAGGATAATTTTGATCGAATAAACTTTTGTCTCCCGCAGAGGAATAGGGATTATTAATTTATTTCAAGTGAAAGAAAGGCTAGTTGAAAATATCTACTTGTAGTATGCGATAGAATAGTGAAACCCGCAATCCCACTCACCTCAAACTCCTTCGTGTTCAAAGAGATGGTTTGTGCTGACTTAAGCGATTCAGCAAAGGTTGCAGGAATAGTTCCTGATATGTTCATCTGGTACCAACTTCCATTAGGAGTGGCAACGATGAATAAATCTGTAATGCGCCAAAAGAGACAATTAATTTGAGTATATGGGTATATGGAAGCATATTTTATTGTCAAGTCAGAAAAAGTCACAATGTGCAATCACTGTGTCAGATTTATATCAATTCACATGCATTCTATAGACATTGCATAATACCCCACATTAAGTAAACAACGCATATTTGGGTGACTCAGCGCTTCGAATTCCTGGGGATTTGATAGAGGTACAATTCCTTAGATACTTCTTATATCCTGGCTATTCCATCTTGGGTGTATTTGGGGTTTTACACTCATTTGGTGACTAACACCAAGACAATGCGTGGATCCGATTGAAAGACATAATCACTTAAGTGTTAGGGCTTGGCGAATCGATGGACTTCGTTAAGTGTGCGTGCTTGAGATACTAATTCACAGTATGCCTGTGATAGAAAATAAGCTGCTGAAGGTCTTATGTGACTAACAGGTTTTGGATGAGGGAGCGAAAGTAGTTATTATGATTTGTACATAATTTGTGCAGGATAATCGTCCATTGTGTGTGAAAAGACGAGGACACGCTATGTGCATCGAAGCCTTAGTCAGAGTGTTATAGTACCCATCTGTTGCAAGGGATTTCGACTAGAGTCTTGACAAATATTTCGTCCCCAACACTTTGACCTCTTTTATTTATATGAGCCTGGCGCAGAAATCTGGATCTTATACAGCTTAACATTTCTACCATTTTTGCTTTCATTTTCGCAGACGCTTGAAGCAAACATGTGTCGGAAATTTTGAGGGAAATGGAGAAACCTGGGCAGCGTAAAGTGATCAGGTTTTTCGGCCTCAAAAGTATTGCGCCATTTGGAATTCGTCAAACTATTCTCAACACTACATGAAATTGCCCCTTCATGTGCCATAGTTAAAAGCTTAGTGCAAGAATATAAGCCTGCTTCGAGATTACTGAGATCGAGCTCAGTTCAGGTAGAATACCAACTGCAACATTACAGAAAACCTTGACTAAATAGCAATCATATTCACGCAGTATGCCTGATTAACAAATTGTCAGACAGCAGATACGTTGCTAATCACCCATGAGCGTGCAGATAATCTTGTGATGAAGGAGTTGGCCTATTCAAATTTTCCGCTCAACATTTGCCACGTCTTCGGACTCCTTAGCAGAAGTGCACTCGTCGTGCAATGTTAAAGCGAATTTGAGTATGATTGTGACAAATATGGATGCATTGCTTGCACGATTCCTCACAAGGCATAATTGCTGGGTTCTTCACAAACATCAAGAAACAAACAAACAATCCACGCACCAAAGGCGTGCAATACCTCCTACGCCAAAGAAGGCCTAGGTAAGGCCGTAAGCTGGCAAGTTGATGGCTATTGGTTTTCGGATTCGCTAGTTGTGATGATGATTGATTTCCTTGAAAATGTTTGCACCATCATCAGAACTTATTAATGTAAGCTACTGGGACATGTCTGAGAAATAGGTTTAAAATTGATGCCGGGAATGCTGACAATGGGAGTCATTTTCTACAGTCAAAATCCTCCCGCTTACCCTTCGTTGATTACTCAGAAATTACTAAATGATGGCGGCTTCTAGCTCCCTCTTCACTCACCCTATTCACCAGATCTGACCATCACATGTTTCAAACGACAGTAACTTCCTTGAAATCGTTTAGAAACATTTAGTGGCACAATCTGAAGAGTTATTTTTCAATGCGATAAATACGCTTTAGTAACACAGGCGTGTCACGATTGAGTATGATTACGTTAAATATAAAAGAATTGAAAATGCTGTTTCTTTTGGTTTTATTACGGTCCAAACTTTTAATTCGTCCTACTTAGGTACATATGAGTGCCATCCAGCCACATTGAAATTATATAGAGCCTCTGCTTCCCTCGAAATAGTCACTGTCAACGCCACACATAGATTTTATATTTTAACACTGCGACTGAATAAAACGTATTCGCGAAGTCTGTAATTGTTCCTGTCAGGTTAACTTGACCGACATTATTTACCATTACTTATGCTCTTCCGAAACAGAAGTATGCAAGACTTAATGACTATTTTATATTTAATAAATTCAGAAGTGAGTAACAATATGTTGCGAAACTGCTTATATAAGAAATGCTGCATACATAATTCTACAGTTTGGAGGACATCGCTCATAGACGGCTTTGATGCAACCATAGAATAACCCCGTTGGTTCAAACTTTGAAGTATATAGGAAAGCCGAGGTATTTATTGGCATATATTAACGAGGGTATCTTCAGTTAAAAAAGCAAAGTCACCTATTATAAAATATATTGCTTTTAGAGATGGTAATTATTCCGCAGATGGTGCCAACTAGGCTGGATAGCAGAAATGAAAATGTAATACTGTGTTACATGAAACTTAAAGTTTTAAACCTTTGCAACTCTAATGAACTATGAGCACACTTGTGAATATTTTTTCCATAATCTTCTACCAAGCTCCCTCTTGATTATTTGAAACAAGTGTGATCCATAACAACTTGAAAAACATAAATGCATCATTTTTTCGGTGAACCTTCAAGCTCTTATTTTCACAGTGAAGAAATACTGATTCATTAAGGCTAGTATTGCTGCACTAAACATATTTTTACTCGGAGTTCCGACAGACGGTTCGAAAACTTCCCCGCTACCCGTACGAAACACTGAGTCCATTTCACATCCGGCACCACAAGCAAATATTGATATCCGCGGTTGTTGCATAGTACGTATATGTGGAGCTGTGTTTACAGTATGGGGAATTCAACATGTAGCGGAATACGACATGTAGTGATGCGGTCTACTCGTAACCGACGATAGAATTTGGTGTATAGCCCCAGTCCTCACACTGGTCTTTGTACGGCTGCCACGCAAAAGGTGTCAAACATGGTAACATGGTAATCATTATGCACTGACCAGAAAGACGGCTTCTGAAGACCACAAAGACAGAACAGTTTATTACTTAATAAAATGATTCGCAGTAATCGAGAACCCTAAGCTTTCTCCATATCAATAAGCCGTTTGCCAAATAGGCACGCTAGGGCAGAAGTTGCGGTAGATCGATGATAATGATCAGGACTAAATTAAAACCTAGCCTCAAACATTGCAATGCACTATACGAGGGGTACCACTTAGTCAGATGACCATCAAACTCTAATCACCACAATAAGCGAAGGAGAAACTCATGGATCCACCAAAACTGAGTTAACAAGTCCGAACACTCCCGCCCTGTTGAGAAGGAACGCAACGTTTTCCTTGCCGACCGTATTGCATGAATCGGCGTAGAACATTTCCTCATAACTTCCCTGGTCCACATCTTGAAACCATACATGTGTCGTGTTCACTAGTTTGGCAATTCATGAGTGAGCAAGTTGGAATTGGTTTCGTACGTATTCAAGAAATCTATCCAGGCTGAACAGCTGTAGCAAGGCGGCTTCAAAGAAGAGCTAGCATAATTTTCCGAAAATGAAGGTCAAAAACTGTTATGTTTTGGATCACCAGTTATGAATTGCACAAAGCACCCTCAGTTAGGGTGATGCATACTCAAGCTCGACAATTCTGATCAGCGCATCTCCGTAGTTGCCTACTTTGCTGGGGTAAACGATCTCGGAATCATCCTTACTAACGAACATTTTCAATCGAATATCAAGTACAGTTCAAACTGCGCTCTGTCATACAGGTTAGTCACAGTATGTGACAGTATGACAGGTAGAGATTTAAAGATTAGCGCATCAGACCTAGGTGGTTTAGTATCGTGGAGGTTATCAAGCAATTGGTAAGGTTTGCAACAACGATATACCGACATACGCACACGGTAAGGTACGGAACACTAGGGACTCAATACAGGCACCTGACTATTCGCGAATACGGAAACGAGGTGCACAACCATTTTGGGTGCACGCTCAGTGGCTCAAGTTCAATGAATGTCTAAGTGCTCTTTTTGTCTTTTAGCTCCGCTGTCGGCTTCAGGTGCTACTGCACGTAAGTTATGGTTCTTTCCGCGGTTGAGGACTGCTGTTCCAAATGCCGGAGGTCGCTTATTTCCTATGAGTTCAAGTAGTCTGTCCCATTTTATGTACCTCCAAGCAGTGGAATAAGCGAGAGAGGAGACATTATACCCACAGTGCACAGTCATTGTGCTTGTCTAGCTTGCGACAGATAGTAATTTACTTGGCTCGCGTCTCGAGTTAGGCAGCTGAAGTCCGTTTCCCGCTAGCTATTAGATGACTCCGGTTTCTGTTAGCATTGCAGTTGTAGCTCAATTTTATAATGAGAACATGGTAGTAGCTTGATCGCAGTGACTTAGAGATCTGAATTTCTTATTTTATCTTGTTAACATCAGTTCAAGTATTATGGGATGGAATATGTTGTTATACCCATCGGTAATCAAACGTGTGATGCTGCGCTTGTTTATATACCATTTCATCCAACTATACTTAAGCTTCGCAATATTTGTTGATTGGCTGAACATAAGCCATGATGTATAAGGCCAATTGAAATCGTCAATGTGCAGAAAATGTGAGCGACTCATGAAGTTTCGGAAATGTGCATCCAATCAAACAGTAGCTCGAGGGACCGCAATAGATGTCACGAAACTACAGCTCTCTAAGCCTGAGGTGTATCAAGAATCACAGCGGCTCACACAGACAATCTTCACTTCGGTAGGCGCATATATCTTTCATACAAAGAAGAACGGATGTAGAACAAGAAGACACTGAGGAAATTTGTTAGCAAATCCCAACAAAAACAATGAAATCCAAAGAATTCCACTTCCTTCATATGTCAAGTCAAGGTGCAGTTCGCAGCTCCAAATATCGGGCTTGTCTAAAGAGTTAGCAATCCGTGTTTCTGCTGTAACCGGCTGAAAACTGTTGGTTGAGAATCCTAATCGTTATCTTGTCTAGGCCTGGGCAAGCTGACAGTAAAACAATGGGTCCCCTTTAGCCATTTTGTCCCATGTTGTTGCGTAATCACTTGTCCCAACCAACTTGTCCCAACCTGAATAAACTTTATTCAG